TGACGGCTCACGTGCCCAAATCAATCAGAAAATTATGCAAATTAAGACTTGCAGGTCTGAAGCCAGATTGAAAGAGAAGTGTGGGATTTCGAAGCCCAAATCATACATACTCGCCTATATGGCTGCAGCATTGGTCCAATGCTGCGTCTGTACCCCGCCTGCTCTAGGACTGAGAACTGAGCGATCATGAGACCGCTGATTGTTCAGTTCTTGGTCTTCACTGAGCATGGGTAGGTGACTTGGTCACCTGTTCTGTGCTCTGCCCCTCCAGTGGGGAGGGGTCAGGAGCAGTTAGTGCAGGCTCTCAGCGGTACACTAAGAAGCCGATCCAGCAGATCCCGATATTATTGTTCAGATCCATGCAGAGCCTGAAGAGGCTCTGTGACATCAGCTGACAGGGGGCTTTGGCCCGCTTTCAGCTGAATCTGGTTCATAGTAGTGCAAAAATAAGTGCACTCTTGTGACCTTCATGAAAAGTATGGCCAAAAGAGCGTTGGCCATGCTTCTCGTAAGTGTTAACAGTCACAATTTTGCCTATACCTTCAGTAGTCCATACCTCTGGATTATTTTGACATTCAGTTTTCACTGATGGTAAGTTCTCTTAACTCTATTTTGATAGCAATGTGTAAATGGCTGATCTAAAGTTGATTACAAGGCATTCCCCTGACATGCTGAGAATGACAAATTGCAATATGAAAAACTTCTTTACATCTACTTGCAGATTTTCCAAGATCACAAAGTGTTATTATTTGGTTAGTTCAAGTACTGCTGTGCCTGACTGTTGTCAGCATTGTTCCACTTCTTCTTCTCTTTTGGGCCACAGAACCACTCCCTCCTATACTACAGAAAAGAACAATGGGTAAGATGTTCTGTAGTCCTAGGACATTTTTTTGTGTCCTATGGTGAAAATGCTGTTTCCCCATAAATAGTACATACCATAGATGGCCCATAGTACAGTGATTGTGGATTGTCACCACTGGACAGAAATTATAAAAAGAAATAGATCCTCCTGCGCTTATATGGGTGAACCTACTATAAGCTGCTATCACTCAACCTATACCATAAGTGAATAAACAATAAGTGTAAATGGTGAAGCGCTAGAAATGAATATGACCTCAACATAAACTATACAGTGTACTGTTAAGATATTAAATATAAATGTAGTAATGATAAGTGACAAACCAATAAAATAAACACACTGTGCTCTGATCACATTTGGATCCAATAAAGTGCAACTCTAGTGATAACCACAATATACAGTTGTGACACTCCGTGATCCAAATCCCCCTTATTTGAACCCTTATCAGGATAAATTTGGTGATTAGACAATCGTGGTCCATTTTTATATAAAGGGAAAATATAATCGTATTTGGTGCCTTATAAACACTAAATAAAACTTATAAATAATATTCAGTGCCTTCTTAAAAGAGAAAAATAAACTAACAAAATACCCAAAAATTAATCGTAAATAACAAAATCCTCCCAAAAAGTCCAATGAACAAATATACGTGATTCTCCAAAAACAAAACAATCATGCAAGTGATGAAGTGAACTGGTGATCTTCACTCTGGTGCCAAATCCTCAAAACAGCAGAAATACCCGCTCACCTCCAAACCTTGACCCTAGGGGCCAACACACTTTTAGGATCACCTCAATCGATCCTTAAGGGTACTTTTTCACCACAGGGACAGATGTCATATATACTCCCTAACGTAGTGACTTACTCCTCTCAGATTCCTTAAAGGCAATGGTACTGCAATACAGCTCACTCTCTACCTTCTCCACTCAGGATCATGTTAGTGAGATATAAAGAACAATATCCTCCATAGTGCAATAATGCTTTATTACTCAATGCAAAATAGTAGCCAATAGCACACTCACATGTATTCCCATGAAAAAATGCTTTTTCACCACAAGCTATGGGTGTACTGCATGGGCTGGGTGTACCAATATGGCCTCTACGCCCGAAAGTGTGTCACCGGAAGTTGCGTACACCCATACAAAAAGTACCCTTAAGGATCGATTGAGGTGATCCTAAAAGCGTGTTGGCCCCTAGGGTCAAGGTTTGGAGGTGAGCGGGTATTTCTGCTGTTTCGAGGATTTGGCACCAGAGTGAAGATCACCAGTTCACTTCATCACTTGCATGATTGTTTTGTTTTTGGAGAATCACGTATATTTATTCATTGGACTTTTTGGGAGGATTTCGTTATTTACGCTTAATTTTTGGGTATTTTGTTTATTTTTCTCTTTAAGAAGGCACTGAATATTATTTATAAATAGGGAGAAAAACAGTGAGCGCTAGTCCTGAAAGCGGCTAAGCACTCTAAGCAACCAATATGTACTTAAAATAGAATAACATAAAAATAGTGCAGCGCTAAAGGTAGTGATATTAAAACAGGTATGAGTCCACTTTAAAGTCTTGGTCATAAGAACGTGTCCAGTGACAAGTGAGGATTCAAAATTGGTGATCCGTGTGGAAACGGCTGAAAAACGCACTCACCAGAAGCAAGACACATAAACGCAGTGTGCATCTAGAGCTCATGGAACCATACCTCTGAAGATGTGCGTGCGCACGTAACGCGTAAGGAGGAGCCTGGACGTCGAGACGCTACGCCGTCGGAGCCACGTGGAGGCCCGGCGGCCATTATTCAGAGTGTCAGGGTTAGTTTGTCTTGCTGACACATCTTTATGATACCTGCCTACTTTGAACTGGATGCTATTTTTTAATAAAGCTGCTTTTTATAACCTACTACACTATGGGTGTCCTTCCCTAAACTCCCCTGAGGAGCTTTTGCTTGCAGAATCCTGATCTTTGGAATCCTACACCTAATTGGGAAGAGGAGGATCTGTTTCTGCATCCACAGAGGAGGGATTCACCATTCCTGTAACTGGACCAGCTTTATTCCCTTCTGGATTGAGGATCCATGAGCTCCAGATGCACACTGCGTTTATGTGTCTTGCTTCTGGTGAGTGCGTTTTTCAGCCGTTTCCACACGGATCACCAATTTTGAATCCTCACTTGTCACTGGACACGTTCTTATGACCAAGACTTTAAAGTGGACTCATACCTGTTTTAATATCACTACCTTTAGCGCTGCACTATTTTTAATATTATTTATAAGTTTTATTTAGTGTTTATAAGGCACAAAACACTATTATTTTTTCCCTTTATATAACGGGACCACGATTGTCTAATCACCAAATTTATCCTGATAAGGATTCAAATAGGGGGGATTTGGATCACGGTGTGTCACCACAAGTGTATATTGTGGTTATCACTAGAGTTGCACTTTATTGGATCCAAATGTGATCAGAGCACAGTGCGTTTATTTATTGGTTTGTCACTTATCATTACTGCATTCATAATATTATAATATTTAATATCCTAACAGTACACTGTATAGTTTATGTTGATATATTCATTTCTAGTGCTTTACTATTTACACTTATTGGACAGAAATTCTGTTTCTCGCAAAATCACCAAGTGAAAATAAAAAGTACAAGCTTGTTTTTAAGTTTAGATCCAGTTTTATCTACATTTCATTGTAGAAACATACTGCTAGTTCTAAATGGTGCCACTATTGAAAGTTGCTGGTCTAAACACATGGTTGGAAACTGGGAGTGTATCCCAGTCTTGTGATTACCGTGACAGCCACTCATAGTTATCACATGAGATTTGTTTGCAGCCAAACCATAAGGCTGGGGAGTCCCAGTGCAATATATTGAGTAAAAAAGTGAAAGTATTAAAAATGTTGTGTAAACTTATCAAAAATACTTTTTTCAGACATTTTTGCCCATTTGTCAGCTTCACAAAGCACAGTATTAGTGGTGCAATGAAATGAAAATTCTGGTGCCGAAATCAAAACTGAAAATTCAAGATGCACTTGGCTAAAAACCGAAACAGTTTTTAGATTTTTTTTTTATTTTAATTAATGTGGCTGACGATTTTTGCATTGAAGTTACTAGGTGGCGTTTTTGCATTAGAGTCTATGGGACGCGACTTTTCATGAAAGTCTATGAGATGCGATTTTGCATTGAAGTCACGGGGTGTTTTTTTCCCTTGAAGTCAGTGGGGACACAATTTTGTATGACAGTCAATAGGTATGCAATTTTACGTGAAAGTCTATGAAACGCAACTGTTGCTTGACACTTTTGTAATAAAAACAGAGAAGCCATTATCGGTAAAATGCTGGTAACACTATTATCAGCTGATAAATTTTGGACGTCGATATATCAGTGCATCCCTAGTATTAATAGAGTATGGGCATCTAGGATTCAATGACCTCTGATCATAAAAGGGTTATAATGCATCTCTAGCACAAAGCACAATATTAAGTATAGGTATGCGTAAAAAAAAAAAAAAGAGAAAAAAAACGTTCCTTCGTACTGTAACATCTGTTTGATGCTGCATTTGTCCCACGTTGGCTCTAAGAATGAAGACTGAACAATCACTTAACCACTGATTGCTCAGCCTGCTCTTCCCTGTGTGGAGAACAGTGACTTAATCCCTGCTATCCCCACTGCTCCTCCAGTGCTCACCTGTGTGCTGTGCTGCACATGCAAAGAAAAGTGGAGCCAGCTTTTATCAGGCAGCAGAGTGAATCATGACAATATTGTCGGGATCCTTCCCAAGTCTGGCACAGCTCTTCCCCATCAGCTGATAGCGGGCATTAGCTGACTATGGGTTACAGGCAAAAGCTTTGCCCTTATTCACTTTTAATGCTGCTTTAATATTTTATGTATTTAAAACATGTTACTAAATTTTTTTTTTTTTTTTTGTCATGACCAAAATAAATGATGTACAAATCCACTCTACAAGTCCTTCAGAAAATGTGAATCCGTTACCCATCATGGGTAAAATGCAACCTCAATTTAACTATTCAGCATCTGCACAAAACTGAAATATGGGTTTGCGTTTTTTGCTTCAGGTTAACTATCAAATGTTCTAGTTGTTTATTTAAAGTTAATGAGTCCATGAGTTTCCTGAAGAAAAAAAATGAATGTGCTTGTTTTGTGTTTTTTTGCAGGTCAACTTTGTGACATGTCAGTTGTTTGCTCTTGGTGTCGCTGTTTGGTTCCGTACCTACCTGAGCGCAAGCCATGCACATGCTACTGTGCGCCATGCTTTCGCCACCATCATTGGCGTTTACCTGGCAGTATTTTGCTTTGGATGGTAAGTGATCTAGTACCTTTTTATGAGATACTATTTTGTAGGCATGCACCCATATAGTGACAAGCGAACTGTGAATGGGATCAAACATATTCTGTTGCAGGAACGGGCTTCAGTTTTCAAATTTCTTTTCATTGAGTCAAATGGTAAACAATAATGTAACAAAAAGTGATAGAGTGGCATTTAGTCTGGAACTCCTAACAGATCTCAGGGCAGGACGTTGTCTGTGCAAACTTTGTCCTTTCTGCTGCTAGTCCTACATCATTTCCTGTCAGATTCTATGGGCTGGTCTGTATCCATGTCAACTGTTAATCCTAAACCTTTTTTTATAATCTTTGTCACTAGGCAGTCACATAATGTTCTGTATAAACAGTTAAATCTTTTTTTATGTTTTCTTTTTTTTCGTTTTGTTTTTTAAGGTGTTGCTACTGCACACTGTAGCAATGACAATCAAGTTTCTTGTGATTGCTAGATCTAGCATTGTGGTTTTAGATTTATCATGCTTCAGCTAGAATTATGAATAAAAGTCGGTTGTCAGGTTTTTCAAGCCTTAGTAAATATGGAACTGTTATAGTCTTCAGTGCACGGGTATGTATTTCTTGCATCTGTGCAGAAAATAGATATAAGGCTAACCATACACACTTTGATTTCCCCATCCATGATAAAATGCGTGGATGGATGAATATCCCCTGTTGGATATTGTATTCTGACAGTTGTTCCCGTGACTGTCAGAATATACATTTGGACCATGTGTACAGTTGTCCTTCCTGCAGTACATTGTCAATGGACTGGCTTTTGTCAAAGGGACAGCATCCAATCAGCACTGATTAGTGTGTTCTGGTGGCAGGGGCTCGTCCCTCTGTCAGAACTCAAAGGCACAGTGGGAGAGATCGCTGTACTAACATTGCTTAGCTGGGATGAATGAAAAAAACTGAAGGTGTGTACCCGGCTTTACAGTGACTGCATTTGATAGGCATCAGCCACTGTTCCACTCATAATTTACCACCCAGCTCCTTTGATTTGTAAATTTATTATTTCAGGTACTTGCACAGCGCTGTCAATTTATGCAGCACTTTACATATATATATTGTACATTCACATCAGTCCCTAACCCTCAAGGGGTATACAATCTAAGGTCCCTAACTTACATTCATACATACACATACTAGGGCCAGTTTAGACAGGAACCAATTAACCTACCAGCATGTCTTTGGAGACATGGTAGTGCTGTGGCTGGGATTTGAACTGATGACCCTAGTTCTGCCAGGTGGAAGTGCTAACCATTTAGCCACTGTGCTGTCAAAATTTGTCGAGCCATGTGGTGCTGACAGGGCCACCCACCACTCACAATTCAAGCCATATATAACTAGCATAGATGTAGGCATGTATGGCTAGCAGTAAACTGTCAATGGATTAAGAGACATCTCCCTAAGAACCACGAGCAGAAAGATGCCTACCTAACGTTGCACTAGTTGTAAGGGAACAAGAATATGCCATGAGCTTCCAGATTCTATGTGGAAAGGTATGGATGTGGCACCTACTTGCAAAAAGAATTTCCCTCTCATAGTTCGACAACACCCTGATAATCTCAGCTGATGGTTGATATTGGCAGAATCGTTTGCAGTCGTGTCTATGGTAATAGGGTGTTTAGGAAGCATGCACCAGTATTCCTAGATGTAAAGGTAAATAGATTTGTGAAAGTCCTGGAACACAAACCTAGAAGTGCCAGATCTTCTTTTTTTTTTTTTTTTTTTAATTATGAGAATATAGTTTATTTAAATCTGAGTGTTGTTTCCCTATCTTCCGTTGCACCGCTAATACCAGTTGACCCAGTATTGTGGCACATCCATTAGACATAAAGAGTATTGTTATTGTAGAGCAAACCTTCTATAGAGGGGTGTGAAAGATCAGAAGTAGAAGGAAATTACCTTCTGGATTAAATGGGGCTTAGAAACCCACCGATCACAATCAACCTGTCGATCACAGGCAGATGATAACTTTTTTCATGCCGACCCCCAGAGCCTTTACAGGTGGGGTAGCGGGGCGGCATTTACTAGAACCAAAACCCTGTATTTTCCTCCTGCAGCGGCTGAAAGCTGGCTTCTCCTCCTTTCCCTCCCACCGGTACCAGTAAATGCTGCCCTTCCTGCCCTTGTTTTTTCTGCTGCCTGAGCCCCTGTGTCCTTCCCTGATCCCTCCCTTTCAGGGCTGCTGGTTTCCCTCCTCTTCTGATGGCTGCTACAGGGGAAGGGACTAGAAAATATGTAATTTACCAGATCCTTCCTTTTCTAAATGTACAGTGAGTGATCGTAACCAAAGCATAGTAAACT